TTCAGGTGTCCCCAGGTGTCATTGCCAACCCATTTGCAGCAGGCCTTGGCCACAGGAACAGCCTGGAAAGCATTTCATCCATTGACCGGGAACTGAGTCCTGAAGGTCCAGGCAAGGTCAGGATCAAAGTGGCCGGCAGCATGGCACTGGCTCTGAGCTGCTAGTTCCTGACCATGTCTGTTCTGCTTACAGGAGAAAGAGTCGGCCAGTCCAACCCTGTCCTGGGAGCCTGAGTCTGCAGAGGCTGTGGTGAGTCCTGCACGGGCCCAGCTTTGAGCCCTGGGTAGCCCCTCCTGCTAGGGTACTGTAGTAGTGAGCACAGCCCAAGAGTGCCAGGGTACAGTAGTGGTGACCACAGCCCAGGACTGTCAGACAACTACGTCCCTGGGACGTAGATCCCCTCTTAGCACTGTGGTCCACTCTGCTCTCCAGGGTCGGAATGTGGAGCCCCTGAAGCTGGACTACCGTGTCCTGGCTGCTGTGCCCAGTGCCGGGAGTTTGCAAAGAGTGAGTGGTGCATGCTGAATTTCACTCATCTCGGCCTGTCTGCCCTACTCTTATCATCTGCCTGTCAGTCTTTTCCTTTTCTTAACTGTTTTCCTCCTTCCCTCTGCGAGCTCCTGCTGCCAGGTGGAGTGTCAAGGTCATCAGGTAGAGAACAGAGAACTTTTGTCTCGGATCAGGCAGAGCTTGTAGATGTCTGAGCTGGAGCTTTGCCTCCCAGCAAGGCAACATTTGGGATTTTTGTTGTTGTTGTTGTTTGGCAGTGCTGGGGATACAAGATAAAGCCTCTTGAATGCTATAGTCAAGCAGACATGTCCAGCTCTTGTCTGTAAAACTTTTGACCTTACTTTGTGGTAGTTTCTATGATCTCCTCTCATAGTTGCAAAGAGGAGGGCCACTGAAAGCCCCTGACCTCTCGTCTAGTATCTACTCCCAAATAGCTGAGGAGGGCAGAGCTTGACCTGCTGAAGGCAGGCTGCTGCGAAGAAGAGGCAGCTGTCATTCCTCTCAGTCGTCCTGGAGGGGATTCACATACATGGCCACTGTGGAGAGGGTGGGCTGAAGCAGCTGCAGCCTGTGGAAGGAGGCCTTGTGGGTGGGGAAGGTTCAGCTAACAGCTGGCCTGGGAGTGGCCACTCAGGGGCCTAAGCTCGGGGTATAGCCTTCAAGACAGTTGTGGGCCTGGAGACAGGCAGAAAGGACATTGGGTCCTCATTGTTCTCCAAGAGGTATTAAAACTCTCACTCCTAGAAGATGCTGGGACATCATTCTGAGACTGTGAGTGCTAAGGGGTGGGCTTGGCCAGAGCATTGCTGAGCAATGGGAAGGGCCTGGATGTGGAAGTAATACATTTGGATCTTTGGGTCCCAACTCTTCCCCATCCCCAGCAGCCCTAACAGAGAAGCCAGCATGATTTAAGAAACGGAACAGCTATAGGCTGGGATGTTTCTCTGGCTCGTTGATGATTGGGAAGGCAGCCTGGGTCAGGTGCTGGTGGTGGCTGGGCTTTTAGGTCCCAATTGTCTGGTTTCAATCTGTGCATCTCTTCCCAGCTCTTGGGGAGCTTATCGCTGCAGCCTTGGTAGTAGCCCACTGCTGTGAGCAGGCACCTGACTGTCTGTCCAGCGTAGGCCCTGGGGAGAGCAGAGGCTGAGGGCTAGGGCCACCTATGTCCAGCCTTGGGGAAGGAGGACCCTTTATGGAGATCTCCTGGTCATCCAAGCCTATCTGGTGGCATTCCTGGACCTGTTCTATACTGCCAGGAAAAATGCTCAGACCAATCCCTTCCCTGGGACACTGCAAGCCCAGCTGACCCTCCTTCCCAACTGCTGCCTCTTTCCCAAGGGACCCTCTGCGACCACTGGAGGGAAGATGGCTGAGGCCCCCTGTTCCCCTGGCAGCCAGCAAGTGAGCATCCCAGTCACAGGTGCCCCACTGGGGCAGCAGATGGGTACTAGCATGCAGGGTCCCCTTGGGGTGGTGCGGTCATAGGTCATATGTGGTTTTGCTCAGGGACACCTTCCTGATTAAACCTGGCCTTGGTGAAGGCAGGGACCTTGCTGGAGGAGTTCAAGCCTTCCCAAAAACCGAGCATAAGATCTTTTCTGTACAGTTGCCCTTCTTGTCTCTGGGTCCCCCTTTAGCCCCACCTTCCCCACTGCATGGTGAGGGCCAGATTTCCAGCATTCCTGACAGTGCATTGTAGGGTGGGAATGGGCACAGGGTCATTCCCAACCTGGTTCCTAGCCTCAACCTGCCAAGATGGGAATTTGGATGAGTGTCCCTTGTAGCCTACCTTGTCTCCACCTCTCTCTCTCTCTCCTCCTGTCTTTCCCTACTCCCACTCCTGAACCTCTGATCCTGCTCTCTTCTGCCGCTACCCCCTTCCCCTTTGCAGACAAAACCGGGGGTGATCCAGCCATTGGCTCAGGCCTGGCCAAGGGGCTCCCCGGCCCCCAGGGGCAGAGGTGGTCCCTGTTCTGTGAGTGTCTTGTTCCTCAGTGGGTGAGGGTGGCAAAGCTTCCAGAAAAAGATGGTGGGTGTGGGTCAGAGGCAGTTGGAGGATCTAGCTGGTGGCTCTTCGGGCGGTGGCTCTACTGGGGCAGCTGTCGCAGCCCCACTTACGGTATTTCCCCAGCTACCCTCCCCCGATGAACTACCAGCCAATGTGAAGCAGGCCTATAGGGCCTTCGCAGCTGTGCCCACCGCGCACCCTCCCGAGGACAGTGCTGCCCAGGTACGTGCAGTGCTGCCCTGCTGCTACTGTATGCTCTGTTGGTGGGTGCCCAAGGCGAGCGCCCCCAGGAGAACCACCAGCCAAGTCTGTGGGCCTGCTCCCCCTCTAGCCTCCAACACCTGGTCCCGCAGCCTCCCCAGAGCAGCTGTCCTTCCGTGAACGTCAAAAGTACTTCGAGCTGGAGGTACGGGTGCCTCAGGCAGAGGGTCCCCCCAAGCGTGTGTCCTTGGTGGGTGCTGATGACCTACGGAAGATGCAGGAGGAGGAAGGTGAGGAGCCTAGACTTGAGGGGAGGACTGAGTGGGATGAAGACCTAGCCTTGTCTGATCTGTCTGCCTGCCCACAGCTCGCAAACTGCAGCAGAAGAGGGCACAGATGCTTCGGGAAGAGGCAGTAACCTCAGGGCCTGACATGGGTCTCACCTCGGACAGGGAGTCCCCAGATGATCAGCAGGAGGCGGAGCAGCCCTGGGCTGTGCCAGGCCATGCAGGCGGGTGAGTGTGGAGGCCGAGCCTCACTACCTGGCTTGTCTGCTGCGTGCCCTCCCCCCCCAAGTGTGTCACGTCTGCTTCTCCAGCCGCAGCCCATCATCACCCCCACCTCTGGGAGACAGCGCCCCAGTGAGGACAGCCAAAGCTGAGCGACGCCACCAGGAGCGGTTGCGCATGCAGAGCCCTGAGCTCCCTGCCCCAGAGCGGGCTCTGTCTCCTGCAGAACGCCGGGCTCTGGAGGCTGAAAAGCGGGCCCTGTGGAGGGCAGCCAGGTGAGCACCTCCCCAACCCCCAGCAGACCCTCCCCACTGCACCCCAGGCCCACTCAGCTCCATTCCCTCTTTGGTTCCACAGAATGAAATCTCTGGAGCAGGATGCTCTCCGTGCACAAATGGTCCTCAGCAAGTCTCAGGAAGGCCGTGGCAAGCGAGGGCCCCTGGAGCGGCTGGCTGAGGCCCCTTCACCTGCACCCACACCGTCACCCACACCATTAGAAGGTATGTGTTTCCAGGGGCCAGCGGAGGGCTCCACCTACTTTGAGAACTTCTCCCAACACTCTCTTCTTGTTCTCCAGACTTTGGCCTCCAGACAAGTACCTCTCCTGGACGCTTGGTAAGTGACCTACATCTAGGGCCCTTCCCCATACCTGTGGCCTGAAGCAGGAGGGCTCTAGATTCCCCACCAGCCTCACCTCCCTTGCACTCTCTGCCTCTCCCCTCATGCTGTCCTTTCAAGCCCTTGTCTGGAAAGAAGTTTGACTACAGGGCCTTTGCAGCCCTGCCTTCTTCCAGACCTGTGTATGACATCCAGGTACTAGAGGCCAGCTGGCCCATCTGCACGCTCCTACCACCCCTCCCGTGCCTGTCACCTACCCTCTTCCACTCTTTTCTGTGTGTTTCCTACTCTGCTTCCTGTATGTGGGGTCTCCCTACCCACCTTGGTTTCAGCCCAGTGTGCTCTGACCCTGCCCCAGGCTCTGTGGGCCTAGCCCAGACAGCCTGTGTGGGTAAGTTTGGGCAGGTCTGGGACCTGCCCTGACCAGCCTGTCTCCCTATCAGTCACCAGATTTCGTGGAGGAGTTGAGGACTTTAGAACCATCTCCCAGTCCTGGTGAGTTGACACCAGTCTGGGGTGGGAGCTGGGCACCCAGAGTTCCGGCCACGCTTGGCTCATGATTTTCCTACCCCTCTGTACCAGGCCCACAGGAAGAAGATGGGGAAGTGGCTCTGGTGCTCCTTGGCAGGCCCTCACCTGGCACTGTGGGCCCTGAAGACATGACGATGTGCAGTAGCCGTCGGGCCATGCGGCCAGGACGCCGGGGCCTGGGCCCTGTGCCCTCCTAGGGCCAGGGCTCCCCAGACTTAGGGTGGGGAGCCTGCCAGCTTTATCACCTCCCTTACCCCGAGTCATTTAGCCTTGGTGTTAGCATTTTAAAGAGACCCTCAGGGGTTATGGCTTCTGACTAACTGCCCCCGTAGCCGGGATCTCGTGGCGAGACTGTAACTAGTGATGTTTGTACAACCAAAGACTCTATTTTGTGGTTTAAGGAGAATAAAGTTAACTACATTTTACCCTTGGCTGCCCTTTGATCCCTCCACCTCCCTGTGCTGCCCCCTCCTGCCCTGTAAGGTGCCAGTGTTCAGGTCTGCCTTCCCATATCCTTCTCCCTGACCTTGGTACTGGTTCCCTGTGGGACTGAAAAGCCACTGGTTTTTAGCTTGGGTCCAGCCTAGCCGGAGATATGGAATTCTGCACATAAGTGCCTGGGGCACATGCTTTATTGGGGTACAACTACAATCCTCCCCTGGACAGCTGCACACGCACTGGGAGCAGGATCTGCAGCTGCTCAGCTGGCGGCCACTGAACACGGGTGACGAAGAAGAGGCGGAAGTTCTCTAGGCGTGCCTCTTGGAACTGGGAGGGTTCATACTCAGGTCCATCAGTGGGCTGCAGCAGTGACAGATACCTTTCCTGGGCCAGCAGCTCACGACTCCACAGTGCCTGTGCCAGGCCAGGCTGCACCGCCTCCAGCTGCTGCTGCACTGATGGGAACAGGTCCACTTCACGCAGGTCAAACACCAGTGGTTTCCCGTACCTGTAGGTGTGTCCTGGTGAGAAGGCAGGGAAGGCCCAGGGTGGGGCTGTCCTGGGCCCTGCCTGCCACACCTGAGCGCCCCCAGCAGAGCCAGCCGAATCCTCTCGGGTCTCATGTGCTCCGGGTTTACAGTGTCCACATAGTTGCTGTCCTGGTATCTCAAGAAAGTGGCTGCCTGGCCAGAGGGGTCGATGACAAGAGGCCACCTGAGGGCAGCCGCCTGGTCATTGCAGTCCATGGGCGCCTCTGACTTGTACCCACACCCAGCCTGGGTACTGACCGTCCATCGGCACGGATGCGGTCACCTACATCCTTCATCAGCACATCATGAAGCTCCGTGACCAGGCACTTGAGCCCGGGTGCTGCCGTCTCCTCGTCTGTGGAGTTGTTAGTTGAAGACCATGGGAGGTCCCACTGCTAAATCCCCTCCCTGGTGCCACCTTTCCAGGTCCCCCAGCTGCCCCACCACAGCCCTGCCCACCCTCCTGGGTCTGCTCCCGAAGCTCCAGCCTGGCCATAGCCAGGGTCTCCTCGGCCTTCTGTGCCACTTGCCGCAGCTTGTCCACTTGGGCCTCTGCGTCCTTGATGGCCTAAAGAAGGGACCGCTCTGACCATTGCTCCCCCCATCTCCTCAGAGCCACCACGGACTTTGTGGAAGTGTGGGGGTGGGGTTGGCCGAACAGTCACATGAGACCAGTGCCTGCTGGGACCTCCTGGCTCCTCCACCCATGCCCCAAGGAGGCCACTGCTGCTAAATGGCACCTTAGGTTTGGACGGCAGAGATGCCTGAACCTCCCTTGGAAGGGGAGCCCTCCCCCCAGGCTGGTGGAGGGCATGCACAGTGCGTAAGAGCCCCACCTGCAGCGTGAGCTCCGTCTTGCCCATGCACTTCCTCTCACACTTATCGTGCTCCATGATCCTCCGATTGAGCTCACAGTAGGCCTGCTGGAGCTGGTGGGCAGGCGGGCCTTGTAGACCCCAGCAACTCACCCTCACTCTCACCCTCGCCCCTCAGCTCGAAGGCCCTCCCCAGGGTCTCCTTCCTAGGTGGAGGCCTAGGCCACGGATCACCTCCTTGTGACACTTCTGCTGTTCCTTGGTGAGCTGCTGCACCTTGAGGTTGATGCTGCAGAGGAGAGAAGCCGGCTGGTCAGAGTCCACGTCCGTGCCCTTGTCATCCACAGTTCCCCACTCCCTCCCCTCCCTGGGTACTCCCCGCTCTGTGCACCGCTTGGCCTCAGTCTCCTTGTGCTTTTGGGCCTCCTGGGCCCTGCGCTGCTGCTCAGCCTCCATGTTCCGGAGCATAGCCTCTGTGAGGCTCAGGTCCCACGACTGCAGCACGCTGATCACTGCATCCAGGGAAGCCACCTAATGACAGGGCATTTGATGCTTAGAGCTGTGTGTGTCCTGAGTGTTCTGCCAACCTGGGAAGGAGGCACTTCCATTTGAGAGGCTTGGGAAAGGTTAGGGTGCCATGACTGGTGACTGATAGGCGACAAGCCAAGACCACAGATTCCCACGGGCTCACTGTCCAGACTCACACCCAGCTCCGGGGGGCCCTTTCCGTCTACCCACCAACCAAGCTCCTCGCCTCTTGTCTACCAATCATGCAAAGCCACCAAGGCCTCTAGGCTACCTCACTACAAGCACAGACACCAAACACCATTGTCTGAAGCTGCTTTCATCTGCTGTCCACCTAAAGAACTCCCCTTCTAGGAGGACACAGCCCCTATGAGCCACAAAGACCCCAGCCCTTCTGGGTACAATGTTGTCCACCTTTAATCCTAACACTCCCTTCTTTGCCTGGGTGTGAAAAGCCGGTCACAGTAAGAACAAGGTTGATGGGGTCTGGCACACTTGGCCATCATCCAAGGTTACTAGAGGAGGGACAGAGAAGGGTTTACACAGAGTGCTGTGAGCCTAAGCGTGGGGACATGGCTGACCAATACAAAGCATGCCTCTCCAGCCCCCTCAGGCTGTTGGTTTGGAGTCCTGTCTGTTGACCCCATCTCATTCACTTCATATTAGCTCAAAGCCCAACAGAGACGAACGCATGATCTTTCACGTTCAACTGCTTTAAATGTAGCCCAAGTTTAGCTTTATAAATTCGGAGACTGCTTGCTTTTCATCTTACAAATCACCACCTACTCGCTGCAAGCCTCAGCCTAGACAAAGCCAAGGGCAGCCGGGCCATCATGGCCATCACTGCCACCGTTGCTCTTCACAGCTTCGAGTGCCCTTGGTGCTGAGTGGCATCAGTTGGTAAGCCACTGACACTGTTTGTCCAGGGTCCTCCTTGATCAGCATCAATCTGAAGCTCTCCATGCCTGCTCTTTCCCCTTGAGGCAACAGCCTTCCTTTCTTGAAGGACCTTCCAATTCTGTGCCATCCTTGGACATTCACAATGCTTAATGCCCTCGCCTCCAAATCTCTCCCCGTGACACGGTGTTCAGGATAGACCTCTCCAAGAAAGAGGTGGACCGCCTGCCTGTCCACCCTAGTGACACAGCCCCTTACCCTGCCCCACTTTTCACATTTCTTCACAGCGTTTATAGTATGGAGTATAACACTTGTTGACTAATTTCCCGCCGCACCCTCAAGCACCTAGGATGTTTCCTAGCATGAAAATTTGGTCAGTCCAACAGCTGGGTGAATCAACGAATGAATCTATTGATGTGCGTCTGAATGTACTGACTGACGTGAATGGACAGGATGAATAGGAAAGATGGCCATGTGGAAAGATTCGTTGATAAATTAATGTACAGAGAAATGCATAGACAGACAGTTGAATAGAGAATGGATTGCTGAAGAAATTTATGCATAAACATATGACTTTTTGAGATTATAATTCTCTTCCTTCCCTCCAAACCTTCCATGACCGACCCCTCCTTGTTCTCTCTCAAATTCATATTCTCTTTTCATCAATTGTCATTACTTGCATCTGTGTGTATACACATACATTCCCAAATACAATCTGCTAGTCTGTAGAGTAGTACTCGTGTGCTTGTTTTCAGGGCTGACCGTTTGGTGTTGGCTAAGCAGTGCTCTTCCCTGGGGGAAATTACTTCTCCCATTCTCAGCATTCCTTAGTTGCCTGCAGACCTCTGCGTAGGCTGCTGCCTCACAGGCTTTCCCTTGTCTCCATTAGCATGTCTATTGTTCTTGTTCAGCTCCTGTTTGGGCAGTCATGTGGTGAGACTTATCTGGATATATCTTCTGACATTCCTCAGAGACACAATCTCATAGCAAACCATCGCTGTCCCCTAATTTAAAGTGCTGTTCCCTGAGCCTTAGGTGACTTGTAATTTAATATAATTTTGTATTATATAGGGGTGTTTTGCCTGCATGTATATCTGGACACCATTTGTGATCCCGCTATGTGCAGAGGCCAGTAGATGGAGTTGAATTCCCTGGAACTGATGTTACAGATGGTTGTTAGTCATGGTGTGGGTGCTGGACATTGAACCCATGTTCTCTGGAAGAGCAGCCAGTGCTCTTAACTTCTAAGCCATCTCTCCAGCCCCAATAGATGATCTTTTATTTTTTATTTTTTTGAGATATAGTCATATGTAGCCATAGATGACCATAAATTTCTTGTAGTGAGAATTTTTGGTTTCTTTAAAAACACAGAATTGTTATGTTCACTATGCTTTTGTTTTAATCTGCGTGTGGGATATGGAGGTGCTTCAGATTGTCCACAGCAGTGATTATGATTTGCCTTGTGCTCTGGCAGGGGTGTGATTTTTGCCAGCTGCAGATAATTTCTGCAAGTGTATGACATTTGAAATTCTGGGGACTATTGAGAGAATATAACCCCAAAGCCTGATGCATGCTAGGCAAGAACTTTGTCAACTAAAAACCTGTCACCCAGCCCTGTAATATGTAACTTTAAATGCTTATTTTGTATTGTTTTGCTTGAGACAAGGTCTCTTCATGTAGCCCTGGCTGTACTGTCTATATAGACCAGGTTGGCCTCGAACTCAAAAAGATCTACCTGCTTCTGCCTCCCAGTGCTGGGATTACAGGCGTGTGCCACCGAGCCTGGCTCACTCCCTGCCTCTTAAATGCTTGCTTTCGATGGAAGTGATAAGGACTGCATCCACAGAACAAATTGGCCCAGAATTGGGTTCTCACGGGGAACTCAGCTGAACTTCAAAGCCCTGAAGCCGGCTGGTGGCTCCAGACTGCTGGTATTCCAGCATGCAGCAGGCAGTGCTGAACCCTCACGGAAAGATGATATGATTTAAAAACAAAATGCATAATGCGAAACAGAAAAGCTGAAAGAACTTCCACAGGGATCTGGACGCTGGAGTTATCAGCTCATGGGCAGAAGACTCACTCAGCATGGATGAAGCCCTAGGTTCAAGCCTCAGTATCTCAAAGGCAATACATTCAAGGTAATGAAGACTGGGTTAAGAATTTGATAATGAACTGCAAGACTTTATATATATTCTATAATAAATGAAGTGGCTAGGAGTTTAAATGTTGTAAATTAACAACAAAGTGTAACTATTTAACGACTAAGTGCATACAGCTGAAGAGAAAACTAGTGACATAGAAGGCACATCAGAGGAAAATATCCAGGGCAAATTGAAAAAAAAGTACACAGAAAAGAGGGTCAAAAGTGGTGGTTATTAGTGCTGGTCAAGGTCCTTCCTAGTTTGTAGACATGTCAAAGAATATGCTTCCTGACAATCATGGTCAGGATGTGCCAAATGACAAGGTCTTGCCAATATATAGCAAGTGATTTGCGCTAAGTGTTCTGGATGCCTCGCCCCTTGGACAAAGACAAGTGATATTCAAGACAGTGGCTGCTCTGTCCCCTGCACTCCCCCAAAGAGTCCACGATAAACAGAAGTTCCTGCGACCACTGAAATGGACACTGGACACAAACTCATTCTGCTTTAAGCTACTGAGCACCGCCAGGAGTTAATTACATGAACCCATGGGGACAATCAATTCTCTTTCAAACTCCCACAGCTGCAGTTATGATTTTAATTTGCATTTCATTGTTAATACCATGAGAAATCTGTCCTACGGTTTTTGGCCATTTGGGCTCTTTTTTTTTTTTTTTTAATATAGAGCCTTGCTCTGTAACTCTGGCTGCCCTGATACCTGCTATGTAGCCCAGGCTGGTCTGAGATTCACGGCAATCCTCCTGCCTGAGCCTCCTGAGTGCTGAGATTGTAGGTATTATTGTGCCACTGTTCCTGAGCCAGACGTCTTTTTGAAAGTATATTTGAGTTGTATATATGCTTATCTGTTGTATGTGTGCTTGTGTGTGTGGTCAGAGGACAACTGTGAGAGCTCTCTCCTTCCACGGTGTCCCAGGGGCTTGAACTCATAAGCACCTTTACCCACTGAGTCATTTCATCAGCCCAGGCTTAGACATCTTTTTAAAGAAGTACTTTCAAGTGAGTTTCTACCTGTCTCTTGGGTTGTCTCGTTTATTTCCCCCATTAAGAGGCATTTGTAGCTATCTCTCATATTAGAGTCGCACGCAGAACTCTTACCTTTATGTTACCAGTGGCTGACTTTGATCTTCCACACAGGAAGTTTCCAAAGCTTTTTGCCCCTTTAGATTATGTTCCTGGGATCACTTCACACCTTTTCATCGGCAAACATGAAGACAATTTCCTTCACAGTCCTTTAGATTTTTCATTTGTTAATCTGTTTATTTAACGATTTATTTACCTATTTATTGGTTGATTTTTTTTTGAGACAGGGTCTTTTTATGTAGCCCCCTGGCTTTCCTGGAACTTGCTATATAGACCAGGCTGGCCTCAAATTCAGAGAGAACCTCCTGTCTTTGCCTCCTGAGTGCTGGGGTCGAAGATGTGTGCCACCACTGCCAAAACCTAGAATTTCCCTTTAGAGTCCCCATCTACTGAGTTTGATTCTATGTGTCATTTCTGTCATTTTTGTGACAGTCATTCATCAGGTTGTATAGTTATTGTAAGCATGTTTTCCTCGCTCTGTGAGTTGAGAGCTGCTGAGTCCAGGATTGCATGATGTGTGCCAGAGTTGAAGTCTCTACGAAGAGGCTCTGAGAGACCAATGAACGAAGGTGTGAGGGTGAAACCTGGGTTGCAGCGGAGACCCCAAGATGTTGGAGATGCCAGAGCTATGCCAAGAGAACCGCATACACGGAGGGGGAGCAGCCCGAGAGAGAGAGGTGCACGCGCAGTCAGCAAAGCTGTGGCATTGTCTAAGCCTCTGAGACTGAAGTCCCAGAAAGAGGACATGGACCTACAGGATTTAGTGTTTCCCCTGCTGGGTTTCAGTCTTGCTTTGATCCAGTATTTCCTCACTATGCTCCCATTCCTCCATTTTGGAACAACAATGTATAGTCCTTACCATTGTGTATAGGAAGCATATGATTTGGTTTTTTTGTTTGTTTGTTTGTTTGTTTGTTTGTTTTTTATTTTACAGTGGGTCATGTTTAGAAATTGCCTTGAGACCCAGAAGAGATTTTGGACTTTTTAATTTTAATCAAGAAGTTTATTTAGACAAGATGCTTGACTTGAAGGGAAAACTACCAAGGAATATTTTGTTTGAGAATAATCTACCCCTGCTGAAGGACAGATTGTCCTACATGTAACAACTAAGTACAGAAAGGTTGCAAAATTGTTCTTGGTTTTACAGTGATAAATGAGAAACACTAAAAGTCTCAAACTGATGAAAAGTATACAAGGAATTTTAGGCTGTTGGTTTCTTTTGTTAAAACGATGAGAGCAAAATAGCTTACTAGAATATAAAGGTAAGAGCTGCGCAAGCATGCTACAAATGGAGAAAAGGGATATTTTCATAGCACTTTCCCTTGGACCATCTGCATCTGATGTCAGCCAAAACAGACCATTGGCCATGTAGTTTAAGAACAAAAGTTCAAGTCCAGTGGTGGTTGCACAGGCTTACAATCCCAGCATTAGGGAGGCAGAGGCAGGCGGCTCTCTGAGTTGGAGGTGAGCTTGGTCTACAGAGTGAGTTCCAGGACAGCAAAGGCTACACAGAGAAACCCTGTCCTGAAAACAAACAAACACAAAACAAAAGGAAAATTTAAATGTTCGTGTGTGTGTGTGTGTGTGTGTGTGTGTGTGTGTGTGTGTGTGTGTGAAGGGATAGGATGGGAAAATGAAAGATCAGAGAAAACCACGGGGTGGTAGTCAGGGTGTACAGCTTTCTAACTGAGGATGTATCTTGGTTTATGGCAGAGTTCTGGAATAAAGCAGCAGGCTCCTTTTTCACTAGACACCCTGTGTCTGCGGTAGCCAGGACACATCCTGAGCTCCTGTTTCCAACTGTGCAGATGTGTCTGTTTCGCTGATTGTGTGCCTGTCAAGCCGGAACCTGACCTGCCTAATTGGTAAGCTCTGTGGTTCACAGGAGGCTTTCTTTAGTTCACTAAGAGCTGTCTGCCTCGTCACCTAAAACTGCACCACAACCATCCTGCCCACTACCCTCAAATTAATATGCTCATCGTCCTCAGTCTCGACTCCTCCCCTGGGCTGCTCGTTGGCCATGGTGAGCACAGGTCTCCCCAGCTGCCACACCAGGTCCTCACTGCAGGGTACTATGGACTCTTTTGTTTTGTTTTCCGAGAAAAGGTTTCTCTGTGTAATAGCCCTGGCTGACCTGGATTCACTTTGTAGACCAGGCTGGTCTCAAATTCATGGAGATCTGCCTGCCTCTGCCTCCCTAGTGCTGGGATTAAAGCACCACCATGCCCTACCACTATGGACTTTTGAACAATGCTGGGGCCATGAAAGACTATGGGTGCCTTTGAAGTTGGGGGAAAAAATGCACTTTGCATTATGAGATGGCCATGAGCCTATGGAGCCCAAGGGAATAATGTGGTTTGATGGGGAATTGCCCCCTAATGTTCATGTATCTCAACACTTGGTTCTTAATTGGTGGTGTTGTTTGGAGGAGGTTATGGTACCTTTTAGGAGGCTGAGCCTTTGAGAAGAGACTACATCACTGGAGGCAGGCTTTGAGAGTCTATAGTCCCACCCCACTTCCTGTTCTTCCTCCTTCCTGTGTGTGGATGAAAAGGCAATCAGCCAGCTTCCTGCTCCTGCGGCCACGACATGCCTTCTGCACGACGGACTCTATCTCCCAGAACCAAAAGCCAAACGAACTCTTTCTTCTTTAAGTTGCTTTTGGTCATGGTGTTTTATAACAGCGAGAGAAAAGTACTAAGGTAACAACGATGCCCACCAGACACCTTCAGAGCTTACAGGAATCACATCATGGCGATTAGTATTGAACGGTGGGTCTGCAAAGCGCTGCTGGCTGGAGTGAGCAGGCAGCTGCAGCCATGAAGCTGTGGGTGTGGGCAGGAGACACACAGGGATACACACAGCACTCCACGGCCCCACATGGAACTCGAAGTCCCGCATAATGCATCAAACAACGGAACACTGGAACACTCATCGTTTCTCCACACTGGCGGAGGGAGATAAACCACAACTCTGTGCAAAGGACTGACTCCCGCAGGCACGGTTTATGGCAAGAGACGCCGGAAGAACAATGCCACATGGACTCACGTGCGCGAGATTCAAAACAGTGAGGCCAACCTACAGGGCCAAGACATTTGGGCCTAAAAGTGGATAGATGGGCAATTGAATGGGTGAGTGGATGAATGAATGAAATGAATGAATGGTGGTTTAAGCACAGAGTAAAGGACAGGACAGGGGAAGCAAGGAAAGTAACTCTGTACAATCCGCCAGGTAGTTCCCCGGGCAGAGGGCAGGGCTCTGGCGACAAGCCATTCCTTATACAGTTCCGCTGCTGTTTCTTGTGGTGAACCACAGAGTCACACACACAACTTTGGCTCATCCAGTGTCCAGCTAACGATCTGTATTTTCCGAAACTAAGATCCAAGATGAGTGAAATCAAAGAGTAGACAGAGAAACGGAAGCAAGGTGAGAGGAGGGATGAATGATCAGATAGATGTTTACACACGTGGATAGTCATCTGGCTAAGCCTGAAGTCCCGGTACTAAATCAACTTGTGGGTATTTATCTAAAAGAATATTTATTGAGAACCATGTGCCAAGATTTCGCTAAGGAACTCGATGGCTATCTCTAGTCCTGCAGAGATGGGCTGTGCCTTCTGGTGTGTGGGAACAGCTTACGAACGCGTGAGGGTTGGTCTGTGGGTGGAAGAGCTGTAATCAAACGAAACCAAATGAGCACAAGAGGATGATGTGAGCTGATGGACGTCACATGATGGAGGACGTCACATGGGCAGATGGGTAGTTTAATGGTAATGAAGTGGCAGGATCAAGACGGAGCTAACTCACAGCAAGACGTATCACCCAGCGTGTGGTAAGTTAGTGTGGTTAACTGACACCTAAGTCTGGCAAATATAAGACTGAGTTGAGGAATTCACTGAACGCAAGTTTCCGTAACCCACCACCTCATCGCCCCGCTGTCCTTCCCCGCTCACCACACCTACTCCTCCTTTCCTTCATGTGCAAACCAGTGAGCTGTCTTTCATTTTGTCATTTTTGCCATGTCGAGATGGAATCAGGTACTCAGTGTGTGGCAGGGGGCTTTTTCTCATGGTTCCCTGGAGAGTTATGGAAGTTGCTGACAGACCTCTATGGCTACTCTCTATGGCTGAAAGGTGTTCCAGTGTTCACCATGAGAGGGTATCTGTATCTGGGTGGTGTCCAGTTTGAGGCTATCCCCGTGCAAGCTTCAGGGGACGTTATTACGCAGACTTCACTGTACCGGGCTCAGTGCCCAAGAACATAACTGCGGAGGAACGTGGTGTGTTTAGCTCTTCAGAGCCTGCAGAGGGAGGAGCCCTTGCTCATGCTTGCAGGAAGCTGTGAGAATCCAGTCTGTCTGCACCCTTGCCAACACAGCTTCACCTCTCCCTTCACATAAGCTGTCACAGTGGGTGCTGTCTTGGGACACCTTTGTTCTGCGCCGATCTGCAGTTATCATTCCTCTCCCGATCTGTCACAAATAGACGACACATCCCTGTCCGTCATAGCTGGACATCATGTTTATTTGCTGTGGAGATGAAATTTGTTTCTATGTCCCAGAGAAGAGTCCTTGGTCAGGCATACAATTTGTGACCAGCCTCTCCCCACAGCTGGCCATTGCTTCTTGTCCGGGTCTTATGAAGGGAAGCTTTTCCTTCCTTCCTTCCTTCCTTCCTTCCTTCCTTCCTTCCTTCCTTCCTTCCTTCCTTTTTATCTTTTTTCTTTCTTTCAAGGGAGAGTAGGAATGCAGTACCCACCACCACCAATTTTGCAGTCCAGTTTCCCGATTGGGGGGGCCATCCCAGAGCACATTTGTAGTGCAAAGGATACGCCTCACCCTGGGAAGACCCCTTCCTGGCCACGGTGTCTCATCAGGTAAGTGCATGAATGGAAGCTTTGCATCTTGGTGAGGCCCCGCTTTTCTTTCTTTTGTCTTCATGGTAAGGTATCTAAGAGTGCTTCAACCTGGCCTAGGGCCCAGAGATATTCCCCTGTGTCTAAAGGTGTGTGCTTCACTGTTCATGCTGAAGTCTCAGGTCAGTTGAGTTAGTTTTGTGTCAGGTATGAGGATCAGGTCAGAACTCATTTCTGACCCAAAGCAGAAGGATCAGGATTAGTTCCCAGGCAAACTGGGCTATGAAGTGTGTGTGTGTGTGTGTGTGTGTGTGTGTGTGTTTGCATATATGTCTGTGAACAAACAAATACATAGAAGGTAAGGTAAGGACACTTCCTGGCCCGGCTTCTCATCCTCCCAGCTGGGAGGCAGCTCCGCCGACTGGGAGGGGAAAAACGGGGATAGGCTGAGACCAGAGGCTGCAGCCCAAGCCCTCTAGCACCTAGGATACCTGGCCAGCCTCTGAGGCCAGAGGACACTTTCCTAATCTACCACAGTAGCTGCATCCTCACGTGGCCGGAGCCCGGAAGGAGCTAAGCCGAACCACACAGAAGGCGTCCCCGGCAGACAGCTATTGTTCGGAAACCGGCATCTGGTTCGTGGGCTGGAACTAGGGGCAGAGTCTAGGAATCCCAGTATCCTGTCGACATTTCCGCTTGTTTGTTTGTCTTAGGAGACAGGGTCTCTCTGTCAGGCTTCTGGAGTGGAAGTCCTGCCAATCCACCTGCCCACTGCTGGGATTGCAGAGTCCACCCCCACCACACCAGAAACCTCGGGGTTTCCAGGGCCACACCTGCTCCGGAGTGCTCCCGTCATCCGCGTACACCCGGGGGTCCGCTCCGAGCTTCAGAAGCACCTCCACGGCTTCCAGGTGGCCCCCGAAGGCTGCCCGGTAGAGCGGCGTGCGGCCGAAGGCGCCCTGCGGAAGGGGCTCCCTGAGCGCGTGCGGGGGGCGGGCCACGCCGCCGCCGTGCGCACCGCGCCCACCTTGCTGTTGGGGCTGGCGCCCAGCTCAGCCAGCAGCTGGATGGCCGGGGCCTGCCCGCCCGCCGCCGCCTCGGATATGGGCGTGTTGCCGTGGCTGTCCTCGCACTCCACGGTGGCCACGCGCCTCTGCAGCCGCCGAGCCTTGCCCGCCTCGTCGGTGCCCACACCTTCGCGCGTCAGCAGCTGCTCCACCTGCGCGCGTGGGCCGTGTCACCTCACCCCGCCCCCTCCCCCCCCGGAGGCCGGCCAGCCTCGCCACCCCTCCCCGCGCCGGGGCCCAGACCTCCTGCAGCACGGCGCGGATCTCGCCCAGGTCCCCTTCGAACGCGGCCTCCAGCAGGCGGCGGCGACGCTGCAGCTCCTCCCGCCGCGCGCGCTCCGCCGCCTCCTCCTGCTCACGCTGCCGCCGGGCCTCCTCCTGCTCCCGGCGCACCAAGGCCAGGTAGGCCTGCAAAACACGGCCAGCGCTCGCCGCAGCCAGTTCCCGCAGTGTCCGCAGCTCACGACATCGTGCCCACAAGCTCTGAGATTCCTCCCCCCCCCCCAAAGCCCAAGGCCACGGCTCCCCTTCCCAGTCTGTCCGGACTCTGGTCCCGGCTCTTGGGGTCTTGTGGCTGGGCCCTCCTGCTCACCTCTCTTTGCAGCTTCTCCATCTCATCCAGGTACTGCTGGCGCTTCTGCCGTCTACGGGCCATCTCCTTTCGTGCCAGATATCGCCGGATGGAAGCCTGGATGGTGGTAGCGGCTTTGTCCTCTGCAGTCGGCTCTGCAGGGAGGAAAGTCGGAATTTTGGACCCCAGCCCTCTTTCCTATCCGCCATCCATCCCCGCAGCTTCTGGAGCCCATACAGAGGACGCAGACGGGTCTCAGAAAGCAGGAAGGCTGTCATGCCTGTCTCCCTGCACTCAGGAGGCTGAAGCAGGAGAACGCACGGAGCCCAGTAGTTTAAAACCAGCCAGGGCTATGCGGTAGACAGTTTTCAACAGCAGTGATAAAAATTCCTCAACAGCTGAGCAAGAATAATGCTTCCTCAGTAGAGCCGGGGAAAGGAAGGGGGCCGGACTCGAGCAGGAAGTCCACCCGCCCAGGGCAGCTGAAAAGACGTCTGAGGAAACCCGGGGGAAAGGACAGAAAAATGGCCTCTGCTTCTCAGGGCTCGCGCACCAAGAGCCAGAGGCCCCTCCTGGCTTAGCTCAACAACCCCTCAAGACCCAGTGGTTGCAGCTGAGGCCTGAACTGCCTCAAACGGGATGGGGTAGGTGGGGTGGGAGGGTGTTTCTCAAGTGTTCTCAGCTCACATCCCAGGGCACTCAGAAGAGGGCGTTGAGTCTAGAGCATGGGCACAAGCACATATTCAGACCACTTTGCAGAGGTCCACATGCTGGCCTGGCACAGTGGCTGCCCGGAGGAGGGGATGGGAAGACACCGTGCCAGTTCTTGCTGTCACTGGCTAATCAGTGGTGAGTAAAAGCCATGGGGACTGCTCCACCCCACTGGGTCTCTGTGTCCCTGTGTGTGTGTGTGTGTGTGTGTGTGTGTGTGTGTGTGTCTGTCTGCCTGCCTGCCATGGGGGTGGGCAGCAGTGAGATCAGCCACAACTGGCAGAAAGCTGACGATCTGGAAGAAAACAAAGGACAAGCCAGGTGACAGGAATACCTCGTGTGCAAAAGATGGATGAAAATCTTACCTAACAGGCACTCCAAGACAGGCTGGGTAGATCACCAGGATAAGTGAAAAATGAGGCAGTACAGGCAAGGAAAGAAGTGGAAAACAAGGCATAGCTAGCTGGATAGACATAAAGAGATTCGGAGCAAGAAGAGTCGGTGCTGTGTGGCTCTGTGGAAGGGAGGAGTAGAATGGAGAAGCCAGGGAGAAGGGAAACAGAGCATGGCACAGACAACAACGTCTCCAGGACCCAGGCAGATGGTGGAAGGGAAAGCCCATGCTTAGGGAATCAAAACACCCTGAAATGGAGCCAACCCTGTGGCTCACACCTGCAGCCCCGGGTACTCCAGGAGCAGAGACAGGAACACCACTTAATCCCGGGGGTTGGAGGCTAACCTGGGCATCACAGTGAGAGTCCCTCTCAACCATGTCCCTTCCCCTTCCCCACAAAAAATTCTGAAATTAACCTTGTGTGTTCATGTGTGTGCAGGTGCACTCGGCTGATTAGCCAGTGAGCCCTGGGGACCCTTCTGTCTCTGCCTCTTTAAGGCTGGAACTCTGTGGGTTTGGGGGACTGAACTCAGGCACATGCAGCAAGCTATTTGCTAAATGAGCCATCTCCTGGTCCCCAGAAATTAATCTTTTGATCCAGCCTTTGGTGATTCTTGTGAGCAAGCACCATACCACTGAGCCACACCCAGGCCCTAGTTTATTTTGTTTTGTTTTGAGATATGTCACAGCAATTAAGAGAAGCAACTATGACATTTAACATTCCTCCGAATACTTCATGGGCAGTGCAAAGGCCCTTCAAAGTAGGCAACTAAAGAAAAAGATGTGATTAAAAAAATAAAATGGTAGCTGGGCAGTGGTGGTGCATGCCTTTTAGTCCCAGGACTTGGGAGGGAGGCAGAGGCAAATGGAACTCTGATTTTGAGGTCTACTTGATCTACAAAAAGAGTTCCAGGATAGCCAGGTCTACACAGAGAGACCCTGTCTTGAAAAACTAAAAAATAATTAAGCCTGGCAGTGATAGCCCACACCTTTAATTCCAGCACGTGGGAGGCAGAAGCAGGCAGATCTCTGTGAGTTTGAGGCCAGTCTGGTCTACAGAACGAGTTCCAGGACAGCCAGAGTGAAAGAGAGAAACTCTGTCTTGGAAAAAGAAGAAAAAGAAGAAGGAAGAGGAGGAGGAAAAGAAAAAGAAAGGAAAAGAAAAACCAGAAGATAATTAGAAACAGATCCATATGGCAATAATAAGAATGTTCTAGACACAGGATAATGATGATTAAGAATATAAAGATGTTGAGTAATTAAAGTAAGAGTGAAAACTTTTGTCATGACCCAGTCATAAACTGTAGTGTGTAAGCAAATAAAACTCTAAGAGCTCAGCTGGGGCTGGGCATGGGGGCACAAGCATTTAATTCCAGCCCTGAGACACACAAGTAGGTGTCTCTCTGTGAGTTCCAGGACAGCCTGCTTTACCCCGAGAGACCTTCTCTAAAACAACAGCAAAAGAACTCAGTTGTGGTCAGGTTTGGTGGCTCATGCCATTAATCCCAGCTCTTGAAGACCAGACCCTGGCAAGTGAATCCTGAGTTCAAGGCCAGCCTGGTCTACATAGTGAGTTCAGGGCCAGCCAGGACTACATAGTGAGGCCCTTTCTCAAAAATAAAATGAGTCAATTAAGAACTCAGTGGTTAAGTGTAACAGCATAATAGAAAGAGCTGAAGGCAGGATTAGTAACCTAGAAGACAAAATAAAGAAAATATCTGCAAAAGTCAGAGAAAAAAGAAAGTGGAAAATGAAGGTATAGTTGGAATAACACATCCATTATAGATGTTGGGAGAGAGTTTTTCGAGACAGGGTTTTTCTGTGTAACAGGCTGTCCTAGAACTCAATTTGTAGACCAGGCTGGCCTTGAATTTACAGAGATCTGCCTGCCTCTGTCTCCCCAGTGCTGGGATTACAATGAGCTCCCTAGCTGGGAGCTTGTTTGCTTGGAAAAGAGTTGTGAAAGTTAATCAAAGACATAAAGTCACACCTTTGAAATGCAATGGCAAATACAAAAGCTAGCAAGCATACAAAATAATAGTTAGAGAAAATTGCCAAAACTAAAGGGGGAAAAGATATATTCAAAGAGGCAATAAATTTATTTAAAAAAAAAACAAACAAACAAAATTCACAATAGCAGCACATGTATGCTTTTCTACCCAAAAGGCACGCTTCAGACAGAAGGGGGTGCTATGACAAACTAGACTTACTGGTTCAAGAAGAGAATGAAGTAAATAAAAAGACAAATCTGTGAATAAACATGTGCAAAACAGCAAATGCAACTATTAGATTATATAATAATTAAAATTCAAATTCACAAACATGCAAATAGCATGTTTGAGAAAAACACTGCATTCCACAACACTCCACCCATCTCATGGGTCTTATGTTTTTTTTTTCTGCCCCTCCCTTCTAGGATGTGCCCTGAGCCTTGCAGAAGCTGACAAAGATGCTTATGGCTCAAACATTCAACAGCCACTTCAGTCTCGGTGCTTTGACCAGTTATGATTCACTGCAGTTACTGCTACAAAACAGCCACAACAGAAACTTTTCTAACTGTCGTGGTTTGAATAAAAATGGGCCCACTAGGCTCACAGATTTGAATGCTTAGTCACGAGAAAATAGAACTGTTCGAAAGGATTAGAAGGATTAGGGGATGTGGCCTTGTTGGAGAAAGTGTCACTGGGGGAGTGGTCTTTGAGGTGTTAAAAGCCCATGCCAGACCCAGGGTCTCTCAGCCTGCGGATCAGGATGTATGTACTACTTCTCCAGCACTATGTCTGTCTGCGTGCCATCATGCTTCCCGCTGTGATGATAATGGACTAATCCTCTAAAACTGTAAGCCAGCCCTCAATGAAAATGCTCAAAACAAACAAACAAACAAACAAAAAGAATTTCCTTGGCTTGGTCATGATGTTTTGTCATAGTAACAGAACTGTGACTAAGACACTAGCAGGAGCTGACAGCAACATGCAGCTATGCATAAACATAATTACCTAGTCACGTCATACCCATTTCACAAAACAACAGCGGGATCTTCCACACCAGAGCCCATGACCTCACCAGCCATGGCTTTTGGCCAGGTTTACAGTAAGAGATGTGAGCTCTCTCCTGCGGAGCAGGCCTCAAATCCAGCCAGAAAGCAGCTGGTTATGCCGCAACAGACTTGCCACTGCTGTACCAACAGACAGTCAACAGTGTCCCAGTTGGGGTCCATAGCTGCGTGAGACTGCTCCTGGCAGGCCCCCCCCCCCCCCCCCGGCCTGCCCAGCACCTTCTAGCACTAGGAGGGTGAGCCAGCAGGGAGGGAGCTTCATCTCAGTTCCAGCTTGATTTCTGTGTCTTCAGAGAAAATATAGTATCTTTAGCAATAGGTTCTATTTTTTATTATTATTATTATTATTATTATTATTATTATTATTATTATTATCATTATTATAACAGTGACCTGCCTGCATGTACACCTGCAGGCCAGAGAGGGCTCCAGATCTCATTATAGATGGTTGTGAGCCATCATGTGGTTGCTGGGAATTGAACTCAGAACCCCTGGAAGAGCAGCCAGTGTCCTTAACCTCCGAGCCATCTCCCCAGCCCTAATAATAGGTTCCTACCGTCCATTTCCTGTGGGCAGCCAAGCGCAGTGGCATTTGCATATGTTGTGCCAGCCTCGGGGGTCTCCCTGGCTTACATGTCATTGGGTGTAGCCGGCTCCTGGCACTGGAGCTTTCGCTTACCCATCTATGGCTTCTGGAAGCAGCTTTATCTGACCACTCAGGGACCTCCATTCAAACTCCTTTTTTAAAGAGGGAATTCTGGCTCTAAATTAGATTACCAAATATCACTTTCCCTGTGGCTTTTTTTTTTTTTTTTTTTTTTTTTTTTTTTACCCAACCTCAATTCTGGTTCATCTCCCTCTTCCTGTCCCCTCTCCAGGTAAGCTTTTCACCCTGAGTAGCTGCCTTCATCTTCATATCACATGTGTTTTGTTACTCTCTTCCCCACAACCTAAAGCCGCCTTTCTGCCCCTCCTGGGCCCCTCTCTAGCTTACTGGCCTTAAACACACTCGCTTCCACACAAATGTCAATATATAAGAATTAGAAGGTAGGGGCTAGAGAGATGGCTCGGCAGTTACCAGCACCGGCTGCTTTTCCAGAGGACACAGATTTGGTTCTGAGTGTCCACACTGTAACTGGATCCAGGGGATCTGATGCTCTTTTGACCTCCACAGGCGCCAAGTGGTACATGTGACACACACACACACGAACACATAAAATAAGAGAATCCATGTTTTAAAATTCGGAGGTAGAGCACACATAGAAGAGAGAATAGCTTGTTTCTGGATCTGGGTTAGCTCACTTAACGTTTTATTTTCCAGTTACACCTGTCTTCTTACAGATTCCATTTTTCTTCCTAGCTGAATAGGATTCTGCTGTGTGTGTGTACCACATTTTTCACTGTCCCTTCATCACTTGATGAGCATCTAGGCTCGTTCTAGCTGCTGGGGATAAGTAGGGCAGCACTAAACAAGTGTCCCTGTGTGGGATGCTGGTTTGTGCCCAGGAGTGGTATGGCTGGGCAGAGGGTAGTTTTAGTTTTAGATTTAGTTAGTGGCTACACTAGCTTAAACCCTTCCCAGCAATGAATGAGGGTTCCTTTTTTTTTTTTCAACATCCTCCCTGGCATATATAATTTGTTTTCTTGATGGTAGCTGTTTTAACTGGATTGAGATGGGATAGAACAGTTTCATTTCCCTGATAGCTACCAATGTTAAACACATTTTTTTTTTTTTTTTGAAACAGGGTTTCTCTGTATCACCTTGGCTGTCCTGGACTAGCTATGTAGACCAGGCTGGCCTTGAACTTGAACTCACAGCGATCTGCCACCCCAAGTGCTGGTATTACACTCATGTGCTACCATGCCCGGCTTTATTCACTTTAAAAAATATTGGCTGTTTGTTTGTTTGTTTGTTTTGGTTTTTCAAGCAGGATCTCTTTGTATATCTCTGGCTGTCCTGGATGTATTTCTTTTTCTAAGAATGTTGTTTAATCCCTTAGCCCATTTGTGACTGGGATGTTTATTTTCTTGATGTTTCTTGAGTTCTGCATATGTTCTAAAGTACTGGTCCTCTGTCTGATGGATGGCTAGAAATCGTTTTCTTCTGTCTCTTCAGTGGGTTCTGTTTCCTTTGCTATAAGTGCTTCAGTGTCTTGAGAATCTGTTTCTTGATTGTTGGCCTGATTTCCTGAGTAATGGCTACAACATGGCACATTGGATTTCCAAATTCTGCCACCACACAAACAAATAACACCAAAAGTCTCTTATCTCGCCTTTCTGGCTTAGGCCCGGCAGAACGGTTCCTGCAAAGGGTGGCAAGAAGAAAGAAAGGCCATTTCGCCATCAACAAGGCGGTGACCAGCGAACACACCATCAGCATTCACAAGCGCATCCATGGAGTGCTTCAAGAAGTGTCACTCAGTCCTCAGTCACTCAAAGAAATCTGGGAATTTGCCATGAAGGCAGTGGGGGCTCCAGATGTGCGCATAGACACCAGGCTCAATAAAGCTGTATGGGCCAAAGGGATAAGGAATGTTCCGTATTGCATCCGAGTACGTTTGTCCAGAAAACGTAATGAAGATGAGGATTTCACCAAACAAGCATTACACATTGTTAACTTATGTGCCTGTTACCACATTCAAAAATCTGCATATGGTCAATGTGGATGAGAACTAACCTACTGAATGTCAGATAAAGTTGCAGAACTGCCAAAAAAAAAAAAAAAAAAAGTCTCTTATCTGTAAGCTTTTTCTACTTTCTGCTCTTAAAAATCTTTTCTCTCTATGATTTTTTTGTTCTCTGCTCTAAAAAAAACAAAACAAACAAACAAAAACTCTTAAGACTATTGTGTAAATTCTTTATCTCAGGTTTTTTTTGTTTTTGTTTTTTTTTTTTTAGGGGAGTGTTGTTTTGTTTTACTGAGACAGGGTTTCTCTCTGTAGCCCTGGCTATTCTGGAACTCACTCTGTAGACTGAACTGGCCTTGAACTCGCCTGCCTGTGCTTCCAGAGTGCTGAGATAAAGGTTTGTGCCACTACCACTCAGCAAGGCAATCCTTTTTTTTGTTATTTTGTCTTTTTGGGTTTTTTGTTTTGTTTTGTTTTGAATTAAGGATCAAACCAAGGGCCAAGCCCTCTACCACTAAGCTAAATCCCCAAACCCCAAATTCAACTTTTATGTAGGAAAATAGGTATTTTTAAATAGCAGCCCTGTGAGCTGGGCATGGTGGTACACGCCTATAATCCCAGCACTCAGGGAGGGAGAGGCAGGTGGATCTCTGAGAGTTCAAGGCCAGCCTGGTCTACAAATCTGAGTACAGACAGCCAAGGCTACACAGAGAAACCCTGTCTCAAAGAACCAAAAGGAGAGAGAGAGAGAGAGAGAGAGAGAGAGAGAAATAGCAACCCTGTGGCTTGTCTCCATCTTAGCTGATTGACCTCATCATGATGGAAGCAACCATGTGGCTAAAAGCCATATTTACCAAGGTCAAAAAAAAAAAAAAAAAAAAAAAAAAAAAAAAAAGAGTATGTGCCAGTGCTGGAGAGATGGCTCAAGTGGTTAAGAGCTCTGACCGTTCTTCCAGAGGTCCTGAGTTCAATCCCCAGCAGTGACATGGTGGCTCACAACCATCTTTAATGGGATCTGATGCCATCTTCTGTCATGCAGGCATACATGCAGATAGAGCGTTCACGTGTAACTTGACCCCATCTTCAAGTGGCCATGTGGTATAAACTGACTAAGACAGCAACCCTAAAGCTCCTCAGTCCTCCTGATTCTCTGCTTATCATTGTAACTCCTTTCTTTTTAGACTAAGAAGGCAGCGGCAGGTCTCCAAAATACTTTGGATTGGATGAATTTTTGCATGATGACACATTCCTAAGGTTATAAAGTCTACTCAGGTTAACAAATGCTGACTTAGAGATTTACAGCTAACCTCTTAGGCCTTTGCTGTGTTCAACACCATGCTCCTAGGAAATTTTAAATAGGAACCAGCACATGTTTGATAAATAAGATATGTTTGATAGTTAAGGTATGTTTGATATAAATGTCTAATGCCTACTCAGGTTAACAGTAGTGAACTTGAAGATATAGATCTAGCCTCTTTGTCTTTGTTAACTTTTTGAAGCTTTAGCTGTTTGAATAAATTGAGTCATATAAGAAACTGTGATGTTCTATAAAGGTACATTATAAAAGGATCAAAAAAAGTAAAGTCTCCAGTCTCTCTGTGGACTGTATTTATGGTTTAAAGTTTTATTTTGATGTTAAAGGACCTTTAATTAAATCTTCAACTCAATCTTACTAGAGATAAAATTATAAATCCTGATCCTATAAAAGCTCCTAACTTGTTGTAAACTGTTACAGATAATTAAAACATACAAGTTAATTGTCAGTCCCCTTATAAATGATCAAATTCTTTAATGTGCTCAGAACTATGCACATAGTCATGCTAAGCACAAATGCAATTCATTTACAGGAACAAGCTTTATAAAGCCTCCTTTATAAATATCTTTTCGAGTTTAAGCCTGAAGCAGCTATAACTAAAAACAAGTAAAGTTTGTTTAAAATGAGGTATACTTAGTAGATGGCTCTCAAAACCACCCAGAGATTGTTGTTTTTAAGCAAAATCCCAAATGTTTGATTTTACCAATAAAGACTCAGGAGCCAGATGCTGGGGTGAAAGCTCAGAGAGGCAGAGAAAGCATCCAGCTGACCTCCCTATTTAGCTGACATTCCAGAAGGAAAAATTCCCTTCTACTCCGCCCTGTCTTCAAAACCCTTCAGACTGAATGTCCCTCCTTTCTACTTCCTGTGTGTCTCTCTGTCCCTCTGTGGTGTAATAGTGGCAAGTCTGTTGTGCCATAACCAGCTGCTTTCTGGTTGGATTTGAGGCCTGCTCCACAGGAGAGAGCTCACATCTGATACTGTAAACCTGGCCAAAAGCCACAGCTGGTGAGGTCATGTGTCCTAGTAAGGAAGATACTGCTGTTGTTCTGTTAAATGGGTATGATATGACTAAGTAATTCTGTTTATGCATAGATGAGCGGTGCTGTCAGCTTCAGTTAGAAATGTTGTTCTTGTTGTTGTTTTGTAGTGGGCAGCAGTAACTGCAGAGCCTGGTCAAGGTGCTGAGGTTGAGGGACTACTGAGTGCTCAACCACAAA